CACACACACACACACACACACACACACACACACACACACACACACACACACACACACACACACACACACACAAATGGAAAGACACTTTCGAGCCACTTATCCTAACCACGTGGTGCAATTTCGCACCTTTAACCCTTTCTGGCGACTTCCCCCTAGCTTTCTGCCCTTTCCCGTCCCCCCGTTCCACCCCCCCTCTCTCTCTCACACACACACATACACGAACACAAATAACGGAAAAAAATGCAAGTAAACAAAATAATTTGCGCCTCGTGGTGCAGCTATGTGATGTGATTTTGCACCTCAAGCATGCCCCACGCACCCCCCAACTTCCCCTCTAACCCTCTCGTCTCCCCTCCTTTCCCCAATTCTCATGGGCCCCCGTTCATTTCCCTTTTCCTCCCAATTCGTGTGTGCCCCCTCCCTTCCCTCAATTGGTGCATATGCTTTTCCCTGATCCCAACTCCCCCACAACGACTGTATTTGTCCTCCTTCACCCCGATCTCCCCCAACAACTGCCACGCCCATCTTCCGTTTCCATCATCCTGATTCCCCCACATCCTTAACTCCCTCCCCATTGCATTCCGACCCAGAGTCCTTCACATTGTCATCTCCCTCCCAATTACCTTTTCCGAGTCCCATCATCATGTCCCATTGTCATGTCGCTGCTTCTCCCGGAAACGAAAAAAAAAAAGAACACAGCCTGCTTCTGCCCCCTCCCTCGATTCCTGATGTCATTATCATCTTACCTTGCAAATCGTACTCCTTACCTTTCACTTTAATCGGCATTTTCTTCAGTCAGCGTTGTCATGGTGGGTTGCTTGGGCTCTCTCTCACTATCAGAGTCAATAAGGAAAGAAAAACGAAACCACACACCTTGCAAATTGTGCTCCTAATCTTTCATCTTCATCATCATTTTCTTCAGTCAGTGTCGTCATGGTGGGGTGCTTGGGATCTCTCTCTCTCTCTCTCTCTCTCTCTCTCTCTCTCTCTCTCTCTCTCTCTCTCTCTCTCTAGCTCGAGCGCACCTGCACACACACACACACTTTGTGTGGTTGTGTGAAACCCCCCAAAAAAGCATGACTGTGCCAGGCTGTTTCATTGGACTTTCACCAACTCGTCAGGAGGTTGGACCCCGACAGTCTACCCACGATGCATTTGTGTGCGTTCCTGCATGTGCGTGTCTGTTTGTGCGTGAGCTTGCACGGGGGGGCATCCATGTGAGTGTGTGTTGTTTTGTTCGCTATACACCACCTTGGTGAGCCGCCAAAGATATGCACGGGAAAAGAGCCGAACCGCTACACCCAATAGGGCACCGGCCAGCCTGGGACTGGTTTTCCCCCAGGCCTGGCACCCGTAACTTCCGTTGGATGCTTACAGCAGAGCGACTGCAACTGGAAGCTTTCGACTCGCACAATGCCTGGGGCAGGATTATCCGCCTTTACCAGAAACCAGGACCTGGACACTGAAACTACTTGGGCCAGCCCACGAGGCAGAGGGATGG